GAGGGGAGGAGGGAGGAGGGGAGGAGGGAGGAGGGGAGGAAGGAGGGAGGACGGAGGGCGGGAGGAGGGAGGGGAGGAGGGAGAGAAGAGGGGCAGGGTGAGCATGCCCCGCCCTCTCCAGGCATCAGGGAGGGGAGCAAGGAAGAAGTAGAAAAGGCCAGGAGAGACAGAGGAGCACCAGAGGGGGGCAGGGCCGAGAGGAAGATGGAGGAGGAGGGGGAGGGGCAAGAGAGGGGGAGGGGAGGAGGAGGGAAAGGAAGAAGGCGGAGGGGGAGGGGGGGGGGGGGAGGAGGGGGGGGGGAGGGCGGGGGGGGGGGGGGGGGGGCCCCCCCCGCCGGGCCAGCCCCGCCCCCCCCCGCGCCCATCCCCCCTCGCACCTTGGGCTTCTCCTCGGACATGGCTCGCCGGGGCCGGGGGACCTCACTCCCTCACTCGCTCGGGGTTCGGGGCTGCTCGGGCCGCGCTCTCTCCCTCTCTCCGCTCCCTTGCTCCCGTCGCTCCCGCCGCCGCTCGGGGACGCGCTTCCCCCTCGCGAATCCCGCGCTTCCCATTGGCCGAGGACGGCGTCACGTGGCGCCGCGCGCTCCCGATGCGCGCCCCCGCCCGCCGCTGCCCCTCGGGCGCGCGCCTCCTAACCCCGGGGCCCGCGAGGCCGTTGGAGGGAGACGCGTCACGGCACGGCACGTGACCAGGCCCCGCCCCTTCCCAACCCCAAGCGGAGGCTTATGTGTGCGCGCGCGCGCGCGCGCGGCCCCCGAGCCCCGCCTTCTCCCCCCACGTGACCCAACCGGGAGGCGAGGCCGCAGCGGCGGGTCGGGCCGTGGGGCGCTGAGTGCGCAGGCGTACACGCTCCCTCAATTCCCTAACCGATACAAAGTAGCTGAGGCGGCCCGAGGAGGGAGGGGCACAAGAGCCAGACACCCCTCCCCCACCCCGCCTCCCGCGGTCGGCGCTGGTGAAGCTGCGCCTGCCTACAGAGGTAGCGCGTGCGCGTTTTCGAGAGTGCGTATGCTCTGGACGGGTATACGTGTGTGTTGTGTGTCTGTGTGCTGTGTGTGCGCGTGCGCGCGTGCGTGCCTGCGGGGCGCCCAAGCCGAAGCCACCCCTGGCCGCAGGGAACTTCAAATTGCCAGGGAGTGGTCACCCCCAAATAACCAGGGGAAAGAGTGATCCATGGGTAGTCAGAGCCCCAGTCCGCTCCAGAAACCCTAGCCAGCTCGGGACGCCTGGAGGCGCTTGGCCAAGCGTAAGCATGCAAGCAGCGCCTGAGCCCGCATCCTAGACCTAGGCCTAGAGCTACCGATCCAATAGCAAAGTATTTAATTAAGACACAGCCAAGGGGCAGCGAGGTGGCGCAGTGGATAGAGCGCTGGCCCTGGAGGCAGGAGGACCTAAGTTCAAGTCCGACCTCAGATACATGACACTTACTAGATGTGTGACCGTGGGCAAGTCACTTAACCCCATTGCCTAACAACAAAAAAAAAAAAGCCAGCCAGTAAACGATCACACGGGGGAAGAGGGCAGCAGTAATACTGTCGGCTGCCCACAAAAGCATAACCTCCTGGAGGCACCAGCGGAGAAATGACCAGGGCCCAGGGTTTCAGTCCTGGCATGCAGATTTACCGTGGCCTCACCCCTGAGGGGGTTAGGGTTAGGGACACGATTCCCAGCCTCCCCAGTGAACTTGGTAGCCTCAGCACCGTCCGAGGGCACCCAAGGCCATCTGCTGCGCCTTCTCCGCCACGGTTCCGGCTCCCTGTGAGCCCCAGCTAGCCCTCGCCTCCTGACCCTGAGCTGCAAGGGCCGGGCTCCAGGGCTCACAGAACTCGGAGGTTCTGGCCTTGCCCTCCAATTCCCGGCCTCAGCCGTCATGGGCAGGGAGGTCAGATAACGCAGTGCTGGGGCCCCTCCTCCCTAAACCTCGGGCAATCGTGCTTGCCTTGTGCCCAGCTAGCCCTCGGGAAGGAAACCCCGCCAGGGCTGGAGAGATGGACGGCCAGCAGGTCCCGGAACGTCGAAGCCTACGAAGAGCGGCTTGCAGAAGCCTGGCCAATGCTGAAACCTCAGTATCTTTGGGCGCCCGCATGCCAACGGCATCTTGGGGTGGGGGGGCTCACAGCAGCCCATCCCCTGCAGCTTCAGGGCCCCCACGCCCATGCCCAGGCCTTCCTCCAGCTCTCTGCCCATTGCGTGGACCCCGGAGGGGCACCATCAGGTGCCGCCCATCTTTTGGCTTGACCGCTCCGGCCCTCCGTGTAACTCCGCAGACCCTTCAGACCCTTCAGAGAATGGTATTTCATGCTTCCCCAGCACACAGCACCATCAGCAAATAATGATTTTTTAAAATTTTTGTTCATTTTGAGCTTCAATACAGAAAGACCAAAAAAAGGAACATTTCCGTATACACAGCACGACATAGAAAGAGGACTCAATATAAAACCATGACTTCCCATTTCACCAGTTACTTTTTTTGGGGGGGGGGTCAGGCAATCAGGGTTAAGTGACTTGCCCAGGGTCACACAGCTAGTAAGTGTTATATGTCTGAGGTCGAATTTGAACTCAGGTCCTCCTGACTCCAAGCTTTATCCATTGTGCCACCTAGCTGCCTCCAACTATTTACTTTTTTGAAAAACTCTAAGTCCTATGCATTATTTTCAAAACTATCTTGTTTTTCTGTGCTGAGTTTTCTTTTGTTTCCTGCTGTGTGTGTGTATGCATAAAACCATACTGTGCATACTTCTATTTATCAGTTCTTTCTCTGGAGGGGGATAGCATTTTCCTTCATAGGTCCTTTGGAGTTGATCTGAGTATTTATAAGACTCAGAATGACTTAGTCCTTCAAAGTTGTTCTTCTACAATGTTGCTATTATGTCTACAACGTCCTCTTGGTTCTGCTCATTTCGCTCTTCATTGTTTCCTGCAAGTCTTTCCACGTTCATCATTTTCTTACAGCACAGCAGGATTCCATCACAATCGTATACTACAGATCCTTTAGCCGTTCCCCAATTCATGGGCATCCCCTCAATTTCTGGTTCTTTGCCACCACAAAGAGAGCTGCTGTCAATATTTGAGAACGTGTAAGTTCTTTTCCTTTCTCCTTGATCACCTCGGGGAACACACCTAGTAGTGGCATTGCTGGGTCAAAGTTTTCTAACTCTTTGGGCATAATTTGAGATTGTTGCAATTCCTCCAACAATGAATTAGTGTCCCAATTTTTCCACATCTCCTCCAACATTTGTCACTTTCCCATCTATCATTTTAACCAATCTGATAGGTATAAGATGATATTGCAAGGTTGTTTTAACTTGCATTTCTCTAATCAATGATTTAGAACATTTTTTCATATGACTATATATAGTTTTGATTTCTTCATCAGAAAATTGCCTGTTCATATTCTTTGACCATTTATCGATTGGGGAATGACTTGTATTCTTAGATATTTGACAAAGTTCTTTATATATTTGAGATATGAAACCTTTATCTGAGAAACTGTCTATTAAAATGTCCTCTCAATTTTCTGTTTTCCTTCTAATCTTGGCCACATTGGTTTTATTGGTACAAAACCCTTTTTATTTAACGTAATCAAAATTAGCCATTTTGTACATCACAATGCTTTCTATCTCTTGTATATTAATAAATCATTGTCCTATCCATAAGTCTGATAGGTAATATGTTGCGTGTTCTTCTAATTTTCTTATAATAGCTCCCTTTATACCTAGGTCATGTGTTCATTTTGACCTTATCTTGGTAACTGATGTAAGATATTGGTGTGTGCTCGATTTTTACCAAATTGCTTTCTAGCTTTCCCAATAATTTTTACCAAATACTGAATTCTTTTTTTTTTAATCAATTAATTTATTTTTAGTTTTCAACATTCACTTCCATAAGCTTTGGAGTTTCAAATTTTCTCCCCCTCCCTCCCCAAGATGACATGCAATCTGATATAGGCTCTACATATACACTCATATTAAATATATTTTCACATTAGTCATGTTGTAAAGAATTAGAACCAAGGGGAGGAACCACAAGAAAGAAGAAACAAAACAGAACAGAAGGGGGAAAAAAGAGCAAATAGTATGCTTCCATCTGCATTCAGATTCCAGAGTTCTTTCTCTGAATGTGGATAGCATTTTCCATGATGAGGCTTTTGGAGATGTCTTAGATCCCTGCATTGCTGAGAAGAGCTAAGTCTATCACGGTTAGTCATTGCACAACGTGGCTGTTACTGCGTATGATGTTCTCCTGGTTCTGCTCACTTCACTCAGCATCAATCCATACGAGTCTTTCCAGGTTTTTCTGAAATCTGCCTGCTCATTATTTCTTATGGAACAATAGTATTCCATCATAATCATATACCACAACTTGTTCAGTCATTCTCCAATGAATGAGCATCCCCTCAATTTCCAATTCTTGGCCACCACAGAAAGAGCTGCTATTATGACCTCTTTGGGATACAGCCCTAGAAGTGCTATTGCTGGGTCAAAGGGTATGCACAGTTTTAGAGCCCTTTGGTCATAGTTCCAAATTGTTCTCCAAAATGGTTGAATCATTTCACAACTCCACCAACAATGCATTAGTGTTCCAATTTTCCCACAGCTTCTCCAACATTTATCATTCTCCTGTTTTGTCATGTTGGCCATTCTGACAGGTGTGATGTGGTACCTCAGAGTTGTTTTGATTTGCATTTCTCTAATCAATAGTGATTTAGAGCATTTTTTCACATAACTATAGATGGCTTTAATTTCTTCATCTGTGAATTGCCTGTTCATATCTTTGACCATTTATCAATTGGGGAATGACTTGTATTCTTATAAATTTGACCTAGTTCGAGCTGTGAGCTCTTCTACCCAGCATGCTCTTGCCTCCCCCCTGCCTCCAGGCGCTGCACCACCTCCTCTCTCTTAAGGATTTGAACTGGCCACTTCAAAGTTTGCCACGGATGATGGTATTTCTGCTCTCTTTGTTGACAATGGCGCTGGAATGTGCAAAGCTGGCTTTGCAGGAGACGATGCCCCTCGGGCTGTTTTCCCTTCCATTGTTGGGTGCCCCAGACATCAGGGTGTGATGGTGGGTTTGGGCCAGAAAGACAGCTGCGTGGGCGATGAGGCTCAGAGCAAGAGAGGTATTCTGACCCTAAAGTACCCCACTGAACATGGTATTGTCACCAACTTGGATGACATAGAGAAGATCTGGCATCATGCTTTCTACAGTGAGCTCTGTGTGGCCCCTGAAAAGCACGCTGTGATGCTTACAGAAGCCCCCAGAGCCCCGAAGCCAACAGAGAGAAGATGACTCAGATTATGTCTGAGACCTTCAACACCTCAGACCTGCATGTTGCCATCCAGCTCTGCTGTCCCTGCATGCCTCTGGTCATACCACTGGTATTGTGATGGACTCTGGCAATGGTGTGGCCCACACTGTGCCCATCTATGAAGGTTATGCCCTTCCTCACGCCATCCTCCGTCTGGATTTGACTGGCCGTGATCTGACAGACTATCTCATGAAGATCCTGACCGAGA